GATACTTTAAATGTGCATCTTGCCCGATCAATTCCTGATGTCAGACTTGCTGTCTATGCCTTCCTCTATACTTAGTGACCATGTTGAAAATGGCTTTGCAAAATTATGACTGAAACAGTGAAAGAGATCTAACCTAACTCACTCCATCTTGCTTCTAACCTTTAAGCTGTCCTTGTTCATTCCTGGGCATAGGCTGAACTAACTTTGGGAGTAACTTAGTTTATAGTTTAAAACAAAGATGGTAACACCCCTTTCCCAAAACAAGCATTCTTCTTGCCTGAGGGACTAGACTGCCTTTATAGGACTAACAAATTAGGCATGAGATGAGAAATTACAGTTTTAAGAGTCATGCAGCTGGAGGCTACAAGATTCTGACTCTCCCTAAACTGCTTCTAACATCAGTGCTTAGTCCCTGCACTTGATGGATCAGCAGGCACCACTCAGATGGATAAAATGGCTCATCCTGAATCTTGTGGACTCTACTCAGGAATGGATTCAGTGCAAAAGAACAGCTTCCTGGACAACATGGTGAAACCCCATCTCTACCAAAAATACAAAAACTAGCTGGGCGTGGTGGTGCATGCCTGTGGTCCCATCTACTCAGGAGGCTGAGGCAGAAGAATCACTTGAACTGGGAGGTGGAAGTTGCAGTGAGCAGAGATCCTGCCACTGCATTCCAGCCTGGCGACAGAGGAAGAGTCTGTCTAAAAATAATTTTTTTTAAAAAAGGACAGCTTTAATTCCCTGTGATTTCATCTCCTACCTGACCAGTCAGCACCCCTGGTTCATGGACTTAACCCAACCACCAAGTTGTCCTTAAAAACTCTGATACCAGAATGCTCAGGGAGACTGATTTGAGTAATAATAAAACTCTGCTCTCCCACACAGCCGGCTGTGTGTGAATCACTTTATTGCAATCCCCTTCTTGATAAATTGACTCTGTCTAGGGAGTGGGCAAGGTGAACCCACTGGGCAGTTACAATGTTTTTTCCTGGCCTCCCTCATACCCCTGACTACTTTTTCTCTGATTCTTTTTATTTGATCTTCCTCACGCTAACCTGGTGTCTACTGGAGTTCCATTATCTATTGTCCAGCAGAGGTGGTAAACTCAAACACTGTGAGGGCAGGAAGGGAAGATGAATGTGTTAAAGGAGCAGAGTGGAATTGGGAGTGGTATGGAGTAGGAAAAACTGAACATTTTATGTTCTGCTAAAAAGGTTTCAGGTTTCTTTTTCTGAAATCATTGTCCAGGCCAAATTTATCCACTTCCAATGTCTGGTCACTGTGCTGTCCAAATGTCCACCGTCAGTGTTTGAATCAAGATCCTACCTGTCTCAAAAAGGAAGCCATGTTTGGATTTCTGCCAAGGTCAGTGAGGTCTTAGGGGCCAGAAGTTTCAGCAGGTCTGGAAATGCAGTCATTTGTCTGACCCTTCTCCACATTTTTGGCCCTAGGGCTGGACTGTTTCAGGTCCCATCCAGATTTCATCTTGACCTCAGCTGGGTCTCCCAGGCTTCCTGGCAATGTCTGGGGATCATGGAAAACCTAGTCCCAAAGTCACATGCATGAACGATGTGTGGCAGAGGTCTGCACTGCTTCCTGTCACATCCTGCGGCCTGTCTCTCATTTTGGGCCAGCCACAATGGTTAGCTTCAAGCAAGCCTAGCCTCACCCTACAGCGACAATGCCCAACTATAGGCAGGAGCTGGCATCTGTCAGCTTTGCTTCTCTGCCAGGACCTTGTTGGGCGCCATGGTTATCTGCCCAGCCCTTGTGTGAGCACAGCCGGAAGCACCCAGGAATTAGATGGACCTTTCTGTCTCTATCTTATGCTTTGTTCTCACACATCAGTCAGCCACGTCTGAGCTTCCCAATCTGTCCCTTAGAATATCACACTCAACAGCATATGCTTTGTCCTTCACTTCTTCCCTATCCACCTGGATGATTCCTATTTATTTTTCACAACTCCACTTTGACTTTGACTCCTTTGAAGAGCCTTTCATCATTCTGCTACCCACTTCTATCTCTGTTAGGTCCTTTCTCTGTGTTTACATTTCTTCTCTGAATCTTGTCAACATAGAAGTATTTATTTTTTTCTCATAATTGTAGAGAAGAAAACATAATTTATTTCTTTTAAAGTTCTAGTTTTGGTCACCATATACTAGTCAGAATTTTAATTCTTAACTTTGGTTCATAGTGAAAATCTAGGCAGTAAACAATTTTTAACTCAGTCACATACTAACAATTTATGAATATATATTTTATTTAGTAATATCTTAGCAATATATTTTATTTTGAAATTAGATATTTAATGAATATTAAATATTTAATTTAGCTTAGCAAAACTCAAAGGGTACTTACAAAAAAGATTTGAGAAACTTTTAAAAGTAAACATTAAAAATTATGATTATTATTAAAATCATACATATAAACTTTTATTTAAATATATATTTTATTTATTTAATTTTAACAATTACTTTTGGAAAATTTCATAAGACTTTAGGCAACTTTGATCATCATCTCAAGTTAAGTTTTCTATTAACCACTTTTGTTTTATTGTATGTTAGATTAGGCAAGTATTATAAAAGCAAGAACCTGAAAGCTAAATATATTTATATTTTGCTGATGAGCTCAGAAGACATCGTAATTTTTATTAAACCAACAGTATTAAATTAGTCTTATTTGCCAAATGATTTACTCAAGTCACATGAACTGGAAAAATATCTGGGCTTATTTATTTAATTTATGTGCACTTACTATCTTTAAGTTAATCTGGTATCATGTAGACAAACACAAACATGTGTATAGACATATACATACATGTAGACACAACACACCACCTACCAATGTACACATGCATGTATATAAAAGCCAAAGAAGTCACAGAGTTCAATGTTAAAAAAAAAAAAAAAGAAAGAAAGAAAAAATAGAGCTTTACAGCTGACAGGAACCTATCTATCCACAACTCGGGGTTCCATGAGGAAAACCGGAGGTTCCTCCCCAAAAGAGGAGTCTGTGGTGCCTTTTCTGTTTTCCTCCAGGGATCCCAGGGCTATTAGAAATCTTTTTTAGGTACACAATGCTGCAGTCTTTCCTCTTGCAACACTGTGGGTGGTAAGAGGAAAGAAGGACAGACAGAAGTGAATGGAAGAACAAGTCTTAGAGGCAAAAATTTTATCAACAAGAGGCGAAACAGATGGAAGGAGTGCATATAGTTAGCAGGGGTTTAAGAAGAGAGGAATTCAGTTGACTGAGAAGCTGTCATAGAGAAGACAGATCTTAAAAATACATGCATACACATAGAGCCTAAATATCAGCTTTTAATTAAGGTGACTTTATAGAGCTCTTAGAATTTTTTAATAAAATTTTAGCTGGGCAAACACCAAACATTCCTGTTCCTTGTCTTCTCGTTTCTTAAATTTACACAAAAGAAAGAGTCTTGGAGGTAGGGTAAATTTGTTTATTAGAGGTCTAGTGTAATTACTGTTTAAAGCTCTTTGTCTTTAAAATGTTTTGATAAACTATTTCATTTTTCTAAGCATATGGTTCCATTTAGCTTAGGAGAGAAGGCTAAAAAAAAAAAAAACAAACAAAAAAGTTCCTATTAAGCTCTAAATATAAGCCAAAATTTAAATCAAAGGTATACCTTGATTGTTTAAAATGAATAATTTTTATAAATGTATCTCCCCTGAGCTAAAGGTACTCTCTGAGGAAAGAATTTTGTGGTTGGTTCAAAGCACTTTAACTCTGTTTCAAATCCTAATCTCAGTTGGAATGCTGTTTAGCTAATTCCCTAGATGTTCACGTTTCAAAGTCACATTTAAGATTTACATCTAAAGACTATGAGGGATGACCCCCACACACCAAAAAAAAATCTTCTAGATACAAAAGTCCCAATTCCAAAGTAAACCTTTAACTGTGACTTAAAATCAGGAAGTCTTTTTATGGCTTATAACCAGACACAAAAATTACATCCCCAAAGAGGGTGCAAAAGTGCGATCCCCTTCAAGATCTGAAGGTTTTCCGAAGATGGCCTGAGAAATAAAGACTTTTATTATTAGCAGGGCAATGAAGGTTGAGACAATTAAGACAAATTCCTGAGAGCCAGCACATCTGGACAAACAACCATTTTGGGTCTAGCGGAACTCCCAGCTGGCTACCTGTCATAAGCCAGACAACTTATGCCCTGAAGGTGGCACAGACCACAGAAAAAATTTGCTGCTTACAAAGCCAAGCTTAAACAAGATGAAAGAAGAAGCATATTGTAATCCTCCTATGACAAACCACGCAGAAAGACAGACAAGGAAAACAAAGATCATCCTTGTTAAACTGAAGATCAATAACCAAATAGATACTTAAACAAATCTACAAGAGTCACAGATTCAAAGAACTAATTTTATTATTATTTGTAAATGTTTTCCTCCTGTCAATCAGAACCTGGAAAAGGAGAGATGAGGAAACTTTTTACCATCTTTCTTGGCCAGGTACCACAGATAGAAGCCTGGGAGAAGCTGAACTTGGTGAGAACTCTTACCCTTTTCTGCTGCATCTTCCAGTTCTCCCAGGATTTCACCTGTAGGTCCCGGAACAGGCAGGATGTCTCTGTTGGCCTCACCTTGGGTGCCAAATTGTAAAGGAGGAAACATAATTTCTGTTCTTTCCCTTTTTAGATTCTTAGACAGTTGAGACATTCTCCTGAAAACAAAAGTCAGATTAAATAAGTGAGAAAAACAAGCAGAAGTTTATTAACACGTGCTATACCCATCACACAGGAAAGGTCTCAGTTCAAAAGTATTTCTCAAGGCAGTGGCTTAGGGTCCTTGTTTAAATACTATTTTAACAAAAAGCCATAAATCCTACATAGTGACAAGACAAAGAAGAAAATATCATCAGGCTTCCAAAAGTTGGGAAAATATGGGAAGGTAAATTGATGGGGAGAGTAAAATCTGCTCCTAGAACCTCTGGAGCTCTTGCGTACAGGATCTGTCTCTGAGCGTGTTGTGCTTCTCTTTCGCAGCACGTGCACGAAAGTTGGAACAATACAGAGAAGATGAGCGTGGCCCCTGTGCAAGGATGACAGAAAATTAAAAAGCAATAAAAAAAAAAGTCTAGTTTAAATTTCAAAAATATGTACATTTTTTTTAAAAAAAGAAAGTGTGTTGTAAAAGGAGCTTGTCCCTAGGTGGGAAAAGCAGAGAGGAGGGGCAGAGTCTGCTCCTGTTTTTTAAACTTTAACTTTAATTGAAATCCCCAGTATGTTAGAGAGAAATACTTTGGTTATAATTCCTCTTTCTCTCACACATGTATTGGAAGCTCTGTAAAGGATGGAAGACTTGTCAATCATCTCTGTGTTTGCATTCATAGTGTGTGACAAACAACTGGCACTAAGTAAATATTTGTTGAATGAATAAGTGAACACATGAATGTGTGGTTTGCAGTATGCTCAGTTATCCTAGTGGCACCAAATATAACCTTTCGCATAAGACCAGTATCAAAATTAGTCAATATTTTATGGGAATTTATTTGCCACACAGAAATCATTTAATAAATGCGAAACCCTTATTTGAACCACAAAAAGAAAAAAAAATCACTCAAGAGGGTGAGGGAAATGAATATAAATTTAACAAACCTCACCATAGGGTTTTAATTATTTAATGATTTAATGAGTCAGAGAGTGGGTGAGTGCGTGACTGATTGCTTCATGGAACCCATGGGGTTATGAGAAGGGACTGGAGTTAGCTAGAGACCAATACTCTTAATTTGAGAAATACTTAGGGGGTGTCTACTTAATGCCAGGTGAAGTATATAGTAAGATTGGGCTTATATGATGAATAGCTCAGTATTCACCAAGCTGTAATTACTTTGGAAAGTAAAAGAATGTTTACCTAGTTTGAATAAATTTTAACACTTTAAATAGTATCCTGAAGGTAAAATTTGAATTTAGAGAATTTGAAGATCCTAGCAATGTATGCTCCCTAGTTCCATCTTAAGTTTTGATTGACTACACGCTAATTCCACCTAATGTCTCTCGGGATCAATTGAATCCTAAGTCTAACCGTTAAGGATAATTATGAAAACTAATTATTAGGATCAATATCAATTTTGTTCATGTACATAGGAGGAGGGGGTATCAAAGCACTTAGGAATCTTTTAGCCAAAATCTTGAATTTGTTGCAGCCCGGTCTGAGCCCTAAACCCTAAGGTCACTGTGACAAAGATAGAATTGCTCTTGCTCTAATGTTGATTTTGTTACTTCTCTTCATCAGCAGTCCAATTCTGCAGATGTCTAGAGAGGCACCTTTATAACAGAAATGTCATGAACTTGGGAACCAAACCGAGTCTGCCCTTTATTTAAATGTTTCATAAACATGAACAAATTGGTTTTCATCTTGGAACCTTGGTTTATTTACCTGAAACGTCAGGGCAATTTGCACCTCATGCACAATTTAATGAGGTCATAGTCAAGCAGGCCTGGTGTGGTCCTGAAAGAAGAGAATTGACAAAGGGTTCCCTTTTTCTCTTCCTCAGAATCAAGAGCCTTGATATTGGGATTTTTCACTTTAACTCCTGAGTTTCTTGATAATTCTTCTTCGTCTCTGCAACTCTGGGTCAAAAGTTCAATGTTAGCCATCTTTAAGAGGCAAAAGCATTGGGAGAAAAGAACCCAAAGGCAAGAATTCCTTGTCTCTTCTTTGTATTTCTAAGGTCTCCTGAGCTGCCATTTCCTGCCTCAGCTAGATATGGCTTGAAAGGATGCTGGGTGTAGATTCTGAAATTTTCACATCCAGTTATGTAAAATGAAAAAACTGAAATGGATGTGGAAATGTCCATTTGTTATTATTATAATCTCATACTCTATCTTTGTTTCTGATCTGTTCGCTATTTAGTCAGCAAGAGCTTAGAAACACTTAGGCTTTCAGTTTCTTCCTCTGTTAAGCAAGTAATGATCTGTCAACAAACACTCCAGGAAGTGGTCTTTAAAGGGACCTTGCATCCTTTTGTGATGTCGATTCTTTATGGCACAAAGGGGTCCACCTTCTAATTTAGTTTTTTAAAGTAGGATATTCAGGACTTCATTTACCTATTCTATTTAGAACTTAATTACACATAAACTAGTGTGTATTACTTTTCTTTCATTAGTGTAAAAAATTACTATAGGTTTAGCAGCAAAAAACCAAAGTTGTTTTCCTTAGCTAACATTTTTGTAGGTCAGAAGTCCAGTTCAGGAGGGCTCTGCTAGGTTCTATACTCAGGATCTCTCGAGACAGAAACCAGGATGTGACCAAGCTGGGCCCTTCTGTGGAGGCTCTGGGAGAGAATTGGTTTTTAGTATCATTCAGGGTGCTGGCATAATTCAGTTCCTATGGTGATGGGCTGAGGCCCTCGTTGCCTGGTTGGCTGTCAGCTAGGGCCATGCTGTGCCCCTATACACTGCCCACATTCCTTCTTAAATGCTCACCTCCGTCTTCATACTGGCAACAGTGCTTTGAAGCTTTTCTTTTTACACCTGGCATTTCCTTCTGCTTTCTTCTCCTGTTAAAGAAAAAAATATTCAATGACACTTGTTAAAGCACAGTCATATAGACTTTATTCGGGGCCACCACAACAGACGTGGGGACTGAAGCAATGAGTGGAGACAGATTGGACTCATCTTTGAATACAACATGGGCAAATGGGAATTTATAGCCAGGGAGCAGGGTGGGAACAGTGAATGAGAAATTACAAAGTAGAAACATCAGGGGTAGAGGAGATTCTGGCTGAACCGACCTAACAGGATTCTTGCTGAAGACAGACGATCAGACATGACCTGGGAGATGGTGGAGGATAGGAGTCCAGACAGATATCAAGGATGGGGAGTTCTTGCTAAATTGACTTAGCAGGGTTCTTGCTAAACGCGGATTTTATAAGGAAATGGATAGATGGGCCTAAAAGAAGATTCAGGAGGCTGATTAATGTTTGGCCAAGCAAAGAATTTCTGTCACACTAGAGAAAGCTTCGTGCATTTCAGGACTTATGGTTAGATTGGGTCAACCCAAATAATCTCCCTTTTTCAAGATCACCTGCACTATATAACATACAGAGCCATGGGAATACTATCTCTTCATAGCCACAGGTTCCATCATGGAATCTTGAGTGCCGTTTTTAGAAATTCTATCCACCACAGGTACATCTCTACCAAAAAATAGTTTTCCACTGTCTCCTCCTTCGTGTACTGTTCTCCTGAGTGTTCTTCAGAAGGATACTAACATCCCTAGGCAAGAAGTCCTGGGAAATTGAATAAAAGTAGACAGAGTAATAGCAGCAGAGGAGAAATCAAATAAAAACAGGGATTTCTCAGTGATTTCCTTGATTTAACATCATTGAAAACTAGGAGCTTCCAAAGTTGAACCAAAGCCAAGTTCCAAAGTATCTCACTAAGACTAAGGAGGAATGTATACCAACTCAAGTTTCCTTGAATTAGACAGAATAATTTCATTGACCTGTCAGATTACATAATAAAGCCTACCAAGCAACTTAATTAGAGTGAGCACTCACCATTTGTCCATGGACTATCAGATTAATAAGTGATACCAAACCAAGCTTATTCTGCCCATACATGGTAAGCCAATCACTGATACGAGTTTTACAAAAGGGAGTTTATTGATGAGGCAGCCAAGTGAGGAAATGGGAGAAAAGGTCTCCATTACATCTCCCTGAAGATGGGGTTTTAGGGATATTTGTGGGATAGAGGAGTAAGGTGGTCCAGGCACAGGGAAAGGTGATTGGCAGTGGGGAAAGATGATGTAATCGTTGGTCTTTGCAAGTGTAGCTGGGAGTCATGACTCTTCACAGAATGCATGTTCAGAAAATAGTGGCATTCCCATGATCTGAGGAGGAGTTTTTGGCCATCTGATGTCAAAAGGTCACCTTTTAGGCATTTGCACAGGGCCAGTTGAAGGGTTGGTGGTTTCAACCAGTTGAAACCAGACAAGAGCTGTTTCCTAGCTCCTGAAAAACAAGTTAAAACAAGCATTATCATAGTCACAAACACATCAGATATATTATCTGTAAGGAAGCTAGTGGAAGTTGAGTACATATTGTTTAGCTAAGTGACTTTTAGCTATAAAGTTTTAAGATCAACTAGAAGTAAACAGTTAAAAGCAAGCAAAGCAGCTTAAGTTTGGCTGGCTTAATCAGGTCAGTCTTCAGTTTCATAAGGACTAGAGTGCACAGTTATTGAGAAGACTGATAGGCAAGAGAGTTCTAAATTAAAAGAAGATGTCAATTTCTTTATAGATTGATTTATAACTTTATCTCAATTATCCATTTATATTAAAATATATACCACAGTGTGTCATAGCTAAAGGTGAAAAAATTCATTAAAATCTTCCATGTGCTGTGGGCAAACAACACCTTCACAAAACACAAGATGAAACGTATCTCAGCCATAATTCCTGATTGTTCTCATTCATTATTCAGTAAGTGCTGGGCACTTACCATGCTAGATCCTGATGTTGGGCTGAGAGAACGAGCAAAGAACAGAACGTGCCCAGATCCTGTCTTCCCAAGATTTACATTCCAGGGCCCTGAGAAGTGAACTGCTGCACAGGTGCTCCTGAGCATGAGAAGCAAAGCTGGTTTCTGCAGAATAGTGCTCTCTGCAAGAGCGAGGTCCGAGGCAAACACCCATCGTGTACCTGAGATCACGTGTCAGGACCAGAGCTTGGTCAGAGTGAAGGTTAAAAGCAAGCTACTGTCCCTGGTATATGTAAGAAGTGCTTTATTGTCCCTGGTATATGTAAGAGTCCACCTTAGCCTGCTCTGGGAAAGTGGATGCATTCAAACAGGAAGACTTAACGTAGAGACTCCAAGGTTTACCTAGGAGATATATGCACTCCATATCGTTTAAAATACATAACAAATTTTTTCTTTCATAGGACTTTGGGTAAGATAGTGCAATTTGAGCACAAGGTTTAACTGCCCTTCTCTTGAATAATTCCATTGGAAAGATTGATAGGTAATAAAAATAAGGGAAAGTTTCATCAGGCTTGTGTTGCAATCAAAAGTGAAAAAAACTAAACTTGAGGGATTTCTAAATTATACTTATTTCCATCCAGGGGAAAATAAAG